CTATGGGAGCAAAGAGGGAGAAGGAGTGGGAGGGAGACAATGGGAGTGAACTGATCTGCAGGTACAGGTAAAGCTGGTGTGGGTGGCTGGAAACACCGGGCTGGTGGGGCAGCTCACACCCAGGGGCTGCACAAACCTGGGGGCTGCACAAACCTGGGGGGACTGCACCCTTGGCTGGGAGCCAGAGCTGTTGGTGGGCACTGGAGGGGTGGGAGAGGAGTGGGCAGTGAGCAGGGAGAGGAGGCTCAGCCCTGGAAGGAGGGTTTCCAAAGCCCCCTGGCAGGGGGGTGATGCTGGGGGTCTCCCTGCTCTGGGTCTCTGTACCCGTGCAGGGCTGGGTCAGGGTGAGAGGAGCTGGGTGCTGACACCTTGCCCTGCTCCCAGCCCCGGTGTGTTCATCGACGTCGCCCAAGCCACTGCAGCAGAGGTGCCATGGGGCCAGGCTGTGCCAGCGTCCTGGGCTGGCTCCTGCTGGCACAGGCAGCCCTGCAGGCCACAGGTACGTGTCCCTGGGCTGTGCAGGGTGGGGGGTTTGGGGTCTGTGGTGGGTCAGAGGGGTGAGCTGGGCTCCTGCCGCAGCCCTCGGTGCCTGCCCGGTCTCTCCTGTGCCACAGGCAGCCGTCCCTGCGATGCCAAGGACTTTGGGCACGGCTCGCTGGTCTGTGCCTGCAGTGCCACGTACTGCGACACGCTGGACCCCCTGGTCCTGCCGGCCCCCGGCTCCTACGTCAAGTACGAGAGCAGCAAGGCCGGCAAGAGGCTGGAGCGGAGCGAGGGGAGGTTCCAGCACAACGCCGAGAGCCCAGGTACCGCCACGGCCAGGACCCGCTGCCCACCCGGGGACAGAGTCCGTCCCACGCGGTGGCAGTGACTCTGTGTGTGTCCCCCAGATTTCCACCTCACCCTGGACACGGCACAGCGGTACCAGAAGGTGAAGGGCTTCGGGGGCTCCATCACCGACGCGGCCGCCATCAACATCCAGTCCCTGTCCCAGGCTGCCCAGAACCACCTGCTCCGCTCCTACTTCTCCGAGGAAGGTGAGCCCGGGGCAGGGCGGCACTGCTGGGTGACAGGGCTGGGGGTGCTGCACCCCCCAAATACACCCTGGCAGTGCCCATCACCACCCACCCTGTCCCCAGGCATCGAGTACAACCTCGTGCGTGTGCCCATGGCCAGCACCGACTTCTCTGTCCGCCTGTACACCTACGCCGACGCCGAGGGAGACTTCGAGCTCAAACACTTCAACCTGACGGAGGAGGACACAAGGATGAAGGTGGGTCCTGCAGGAACAGCCCGAGGGACCAGGGCTGCTACCTGGGTGGGATGGGATGGGATAAAATCAAGTTGGGACAGGATGGGATTGGCTTGGGATAGGATGGGCTTTGGAAGGGGAGTACCTTCCTGCTGATGGGGAGGGAGAAGGACTCATTCTTCCATCTGGATGGGATGGGATGGGATGGGATGAGATGGGATGGGATGGGACAGGATGGGATGGGATGAGATGGAGAAGGGCGGTACTCTCTCACTGATGGAGAGAGGCCTCATCCTTCTATCTGGGTGGGAGACAGGATGGGACAGAATGGGATGGGACAGGATGGGAAGGAATGGGATGGGAAGGGAATGGATGGGGAAGAGGAACACCTTCCTGCCAATGGGGAGGGAGAGGACTCATCCTGCCCCCTGGCTGAGATGGGAGGGACTAGAATGGAATGGATTGGGATAGGGAAGGGGAGCACCTTCCCGCCTCTGGGGAGGGAGAGGAGGACTCCTGCTGCCTGCACTGCCAGTGCTGGGGCAGACCTGGAGAGCTCTCTGCCATCCCACTTCTCCCCAGATCCCCATCCTCCGGGCGGCCCAGGCGGTGGCCAAGCGGCCACTGTCACTCTACGCCAGCCCCTGGACCTCCCCCGTCTGGATGAAGACGAACGGCGCGATGACGGGGAGGGGGACGCTGAAGGGCAACCCTGGGGACAAGTACCACAAGGCCTGGGCCAAGTACTTCATCAGGTGAGGGGCCACAGGAGCGCGGTGGGTGCCAGGGGTGCTGTGCCGGGGCTGGGGCTGGCATGGGTGTGATGGGGCCGTTCACCATCTGCCCCACACCAGATTCCTGGATGAATATGCCAAGCACAACCTGACCTTCTGGGCAGTGACGGCAGGGAACGAGCCCACGGCCGGGGAGATTGTTTTCTACCCCTTCCAGTGCCTCGGCTTCTCCCCCGAGCACCAGCGGGACTTCATCGCCCAGGACCTGGGCCCGGCGCTGGCCAACAGCTCCCACCGCCACGTCCAGCTCATCATCCTGGATGACCAGAGGGTGATGCTGCCCTACTGGGCCCAGGTGGTGAGTCCTCACGGCAGCTTTCCCAACCCCACAGTGGGTCTTCTGCCCCCATGGCAGCACTCCCAGCCCCACAGCGGTTCTCCCAGTCCCACGGCAGCTATTCCAGCCCTGGGCACTGGTGACCCCTTTCTCCTGCCAGGTTCTCAAAGACCCCGTGGCCGCCAGCTACATCAGTGGCATTGGCATCCACTGGTACCTGGACTTCCTGGCACCCATCGACCTGACTCTCTCCATCACCCATCACCTCTTCCCGGACTATTTCCTCCTCTCCACAGAGGCCTCCACGGGCTCCTACTTTTGGGAGCCCAGGGTGGTGCTGGGTGGCTGGGACCGTGGGAGCAAGTACAGCCACAGCATCCTCACGGTAGGGCTGGGCAGGGGCCAGGGATGCACCAGCCACCCCCTGTGGCTCAGCACCGGGACTCAGCTCCATCCCCTGCCCCACAGAACCTCAACAACTACGTGACAGGCTGGACTGACTGGAACCTGGCCCTGGACATGGAGGGGGGCCCCAATTGGAGCAAGAACTACGTGGACAGTCCCATCATCGTGGACAGCAGCAAGGACATCTTCTACAAGCAGCCCATGTTCTACCACCTGGGACACTTCAGGTGGGTCAGGGGCTGCTGGCTCCTGCTGCCAGCTCCAGTGCCATTTCTGGCACCATGCTCAGACCCTGCTCATCCCCACAGCAAGTTCATCCCTGAGGGCTCGCAGCGTGTGGGACTGGCCGTCTCCAAGAAGTGCCACCGGTGTGACCTGGAACACTCGGCTTTCCTGCGCCCCGACGGCACCGTCGTCCTGGTGGTCCTGAACCGGTGAGTGGCTCAGCCCTGTGCCCTGCTGCACGGCCCCACTGCTCCCACTGAGCTCCGTCCCCTCTCTCATTCCCTTCAGCTCCCCCACGGATGTGACCTTTGGGATCTCTGACCCCCGGATCGGCTTCATTGAGGCCACAGCTCCCAGTGACTCCATCCAGACGTTCCTGTGGAAGCAGCCAGCCTAGTGCAGCTGCTGGAGGAGCAAAGTGCCAGCACTGGGAGCATGGTGCTGGTGGGGGCTTGGGGATGGGACCCCCATGGGGCTGGGGCTGCAGCAGAGCCCCTGCAGCCCCCTGTGCCCCAGGGGACCTGTTTGATCCAGGGGCTGCGACGCCTGCACTTTTCTAGATGTTTTCATAAAATAAACAGGTTTTCTAAAACCTTGCCTGCACCCCCACTCCCCTTGGTGCCAGCTGTGCCAGGGATGGAGGGGGCAGGTTTGGGGCTGATGGCACCTCCTGAGCCCCATGGGGTCCTGCCCTGCCTGTCCTGCCCTTCTCCTGAGGGCATCCTACAAGGTTGGTGCTCCAGGATGCAGGGGACTTTCACCCCAAAGGGTGGTATCTTCCTCCTGTCTGCAGCATCCCCAGGGCAGGGCAGGCCCCGAAGCTGGCAGGGACTGCAGACCAGGAGCAGCCAGGACCCGCAGTCGGGATTTAGTGCAAAGCCCTGGCGTCAGAAGCTCCGGTTTCTCCCCGGCCAGAGCAGGCAGCTGTGGTTTCTGCTGCCGGAGCAGCCATCAGCCCCTCCAGCTAATGGGAACCGGGAGCTTGGGGCACATACTTCCTGAGTGACGTTATGGGGGAGCGGGCTCGGACTGGGGGGGCTGCACTGAGTCATCCCCCTCCCAGTGGGGCCCCTTGAACTGGGCCAGTACGGGGGAGGCTCCGCAGCTGCCCAGCACCGCAGCTCCGCTCCCGCACGGCGCAGGGGCCCCCCGGCCATCGGGGCCGGGTGGGGGGCACGTGGGGCGCGTGTCCAGGAGCTCAGCCCGGGGACATCCAGCCACCGCAGCAGCAGGGCCGGGATGCCGGTGGCGGCGGCAGCCGGCGGCCAAACAAGCGAGGGCTGTGTGCCGGGCTGGCCCGGCGCCGCCGTTTCCATCTGTGCTCTCGTAAACCCGCAGTGGCCGGCAGGGAACGGCGGCAGCGCGGCCAGCGCCGGGGGCCAGCCCCACGCCGGGTGGCCCAGGGGACCACGGGGGGCACAGGGAGCCCGAGTGGGTGCCCCCCGACCCCGCTCACAGCCCGCGGGCCCGCGGCGGGCAGCCCACGCTCACCGCGGGACGCGCTCCCGGCCGTGCCAGCCGCGGGAGCTCCCGGCGCTGGCAGGCGTGGAGGAATGCAAACACATGTCAGCGCCGGAGGGATCCCGGCTGCTGGAGCTGGGCTCCGGGTGTCCCGCCGGCAGCAGGGAGTGCTCCCGGGTCTGGGGACGTGTCCTGACGAGCAGCCCCGGCCGCGCTTGGCACTGGTTTCACGTCCCCAGCTGTGCTGCTCTCGGGGCAGCCGGGCTGGCAGCAGCGTGGAGGGCGGGGGACGAGCCCCACAGAATCTGCCCAGAGGGATTCCACATTGGAACGGTGTGGGCTCAGCCCCACAGCTGCAGGAGAAGGGACAGGGGATGCAGCTGAGACACCACAGATGCTTTTAGGTTCCCCCCGTGCCCAGTCCCCAGTGAGACCTGGGCCTGGGGCCAAGGGGAGAGCTGGGGGCAGGACATGCTGGTGCCCGCTGCAGCACTCCATCCTGGGCAACTGGGGAAACTGGGAAGGACCCCGAGCGTGCCGAGAGGACAAGAGAGAGGTTTATTGGCATGGCAGGGACACTCCCGCAGTGAGGGCCGTGGTTCCTGGCGGGACAACGAGCGGAGCACCCACAGGGAATGATGCTGCCAGGCTCCCGGTGTAAAAAGAGTCAGAGTTCCAGGGGTCTGGGGGGGTGAGACAGTCACACAGCTCATCCTCACTCCTCCTCCTCCTCCTCTTCCTCCTCCTCCATGGCGATGGGCTGCCGGCCGGCCGGCCCCACGCCGCCGCGCTGGATGGACACGATGCCGCTCAGGAAGGCGTAGCCCAGCATGGCCACCAGCCCCACCAGCACCGACAGCAGCTGGTTGCGCCGTTTGTGGGGGTCCTCCTCTCCCTCACTGCTGTCCGTGCCCGCAGCCCGCGGGGCACCGGCCAAGGGATCAGCTGGGGGAACAGGGCAGGGATGAGAGGGGGGAAAGGTCACCCCGAGCCCACAGGGTGAGGTGGGGGACGGCCCTCACCTCCATCCCAGGGGAAGTAGAGGCTGAGGATGGAGGTGCAGTAGTTGCACAGGTTCTGCAGGGACTTCAGGTGCTGCTGCAGTTTCCCGTTGGGCAGCTTCGCCTTCAGGAGCGGCGCCAGGCGGCTGAAGACGAAGGCGTCGAGCGAGGCCGGCCTGGGGCACAGAGAGCCAGGGCTGGGCCACTGTCCCCACCCAAAGCCACCCGGACACACTGGCCAGTGCCCTGGGGGATGGCATGCAGCTTCCTCTCCTTGGAAGGGCACTGCCTCCAGCCCAGGGTGAGGATGGGGAGCAGGATGATCCCATCCCAGACCACTCCCACAGCCTGAATTCCTCACTCCCAGCTGCCTGGAACAGCCCTGTCCCACCCACAAAGCAATGCACAGGGGCTGTGACTCCCCTGCAGACCAGGGGAGGCTCAGACCCGCCAGGGTGTGGGAAGGCCCCTTCCCCTGCTCCTTCTTCGGCCACTCACGAGTCTCCGAAGAAAAACTTCTGGGAGCCAAGGCGCTGGGAGAGGAGGGTCAGGCATTCCCGGGCTTCCCGGTAGAGCTGCAGGAGGAGGAGGAGGAGGACAGAGGGTTGTCACCCACCCAGGCACTGCCACGGTGCTCAAGGGAGCCGGAGGGCAGAATCCCAGACCATAATTTGGATTTTGGCTTCACATGGGTCCCCTGGGCACCACCCAGGACCTGCTGTGCCCAGACCTCATATCCCTCACCTGCTTCTCCAGCTTCTCCTCATCCTCCATGTAGTCGTCCCCCCACAGGAGCTGCAGCCGCTCCAGGTGCCGCTTGTGCATGGAGTTGGGCAGGAAGAAGTTGAGGGGAAAGGGGACGGTCTCCGCGTACCATTTCCGCGTGTGCTCCACGTAGTTCTTCGCATCCACCCAGAACGTGTGGATCTGTGGTGGAGAACAAACCGCGGCCCGGCCACGGCGGGGCTGCAGCCAGGGGGGCTGGCACCTGAGCCCCTGCCCAGCACAGCCACCCCAGAGATCACGAGGGGCTGCGGGAGCATCGTGGCGCAGGGCAGACCCCAGCCCTGGCTGCACAACCCACCCCCACCCCGATTCCTGCCACGCCAGACCCCCGGGACGTTGCTGCCGGCAGCGCTCTCCGGCTCCGCAGGCGGGCGGGCACACACCTGAGCACTGGCACGTCTCCAGGGAGCAGACCCCATCCTTGGCCAGCCCCCCTTCCCCACGGCTCCCCCCTGAGCCTCACCAGCACCGGCAGCAGCTTCTCCTCCAGCAGGGACACGAAGGCCAGCGTGTCTGCGTTCTGCGTGGCCGACAGGTCGTAGTCGGCGTTGTACTTCTGCAGAGAAAACACCACGTGCTGAATCCTGCCAGTGGGAGACACGACAGAGCCCCCTCCTCCTCGAGGGGCTCCGGTGCCCCCCAGCCCGGGGCAGCGGGTGCTCCACACCCCCCTGTACCTGTTTCCTGAGGTGAGTTATGATCTGCTGCGTTTTGGAGATGGTGCCCTCGTCCTGCGTCCTCAGCGCGGGCAGGTGCCCTGTGGGCAGGGGGAGTGGGGGCTGCAGGTGCCGTGCCTGGGGGGCACCCTGGGCGGGCAAGGGGTTGGGGGGAAGAGCTGGGACGAGGGGAAGGGCCCCCACGCCCAGGTGAGGGGTGGGAGGCAGAGGGAGAAGTGCGTGTAAGGGGGGTGGGGGGCACAGGGGTGCACGTGAGGGGTGGAAACCATGTGTGATGGAAAATGAGGATGAGGGGGATGCACTGGGATGTGGGTGTGGGCGACAGGCAGGGGCAGGCAGGGGGGTGTAATGGGAAAAGGGAGAACAATGAGGTGCAATGGGACAGGGTGGGCAATGGGGTGCAAGGGTGCAGGGGGGCACAGAAAAAGGGGGGTGTGATGGGGTGAGGGGGTGCAATGGAGTGAAAGGGGTGTCCAAAGGGACAGGGGGTGCAATGGGGTGTGAGGGTGCAACGGGACAGTGGAGGTGCAATGGGACAAGGGTGTGATGGGGTGAGGGGGTGCAATGGAGTGAAAGGGGTGTCCAAAGGGACAGGGGGTGCGATAGGATAAGGGGGTGCAATGGGGTGTGAGGGTGCAACGGGACAGTGGAGGTGCAATGGGACAGGGGTGTGATGGGATGAGGGGGCTGTGCTGGGGTACAGAGGGGTGCAGTGGAGTTGGAGGGTGCAGGGGGGCCACTGGAAAAGGGGGTGAGATGAGGGGGGTTTGTGATGGGGTGAGGGGGCATCCAAGGGGACACAGGTCGCAGTGGGATGAGGGTGTTCAATGGGGTTGTGATGGGATGAGAGGGGTGTGATGGGGTACAGGGGAGTGCTGTGATGCAGGGGGGGACAGGACAAGGGGGTGCAATGGGGTACAAGGGTGCAATAGGACAAGGGAGGTGCAATGGGACGGGGGTGTGATGGGGTACAGGGGAGTGCTGTGGTGGTCATAGGACAAGGGGGTGCAATGAGATGAGAGGGTGCAATGCGGCAGGAGGGTGCAGGGGGGGGCACTGGACATGAGGGATGCAATGGGGTGGGAGGGTGTGATGGGGCAGTGGGTGAAATAGGGTGGGAGGGTGATGGGGCAGTGGGTGTTATGGGATGGGGGAGGGTGATGGGGCACAGTGGGGTGCAATGGGGTGGGAGGGTGCAGGGTAGGGGGGGCATAGGACAGGGGGTGTTCGACTCGATGAGGGGGTGCCACGGAGTAAGGGGGGGGCCCAGTGGGGTGGGGGATCCACAGGACATGAGGGATGCGGTGGGATAGGGGGGTGATGGGATGAGGAGGGTGTGTGATCTGTGGGAGGCTGCAGCGGTGCGGAGCAGGGGGGGCAGTGGGGCAGGGGGTCCCCGGCCGTGCCGGCACCGGGTGGTCCCGGCGGTTCCGGTGCCGGTATCCCCCGCGGGGCCCTTACCGGAGGGGCTCCTCCAGGGGTGGGTGACCCGGTGCACCTTCAGCGGCGCCCCCGTGAACCGCGCGTAGGTCTGCGGGAGGGAGGGAGGGAGGGAGGGAGCGGCGGCAGCGGGGGCTCAGCCCGCGGGACCCCCGGCCCGGCCCGTCACCGGCCCCGCCGCCCCGGCCCCGCCGCTCACCAGCACGGCCAGGCAGTCGGGGTCCACCGAGGGCAGCCCCCAGCCCCCGGCCCAGCAGAACAGCTCCATGGGCGCCGCCATCTTCCGCCGACCCGGAACCGGACGGGCGGCCCCGCACCGCCCCCGCCGCGGGGCGGCACCGGCGGCACCGCACCGGGGGCTCCGCGGGGCTCCGGAGTGCGAGGGCGGCGGTGGCGGCGACTGCCGGGACCCCCGCACCGCTCAGCTCAGCTCAGCTCAGCTCAGCTCAGCTCAGCTCAGCTCAGCTCCACACTGCTCGGCCCGGCACCTCCACGCGCTGCACCGCACCTCCCTGCTCAGCCCCGCACCTCCCCGCACCGCTCAGCTCAGCTCCACATTGCTCGGCCCCGCACCTCCACGCGCTGCACCGCACAGCCCTGCTCAGCCCCGCACCTCCCTGCTCAGCCCCGCACCTCCCCGCACCGCTCAGCTCAGCTCCACATTGCTCGGCCCCGCACCTCCACGCGCTGCACCGCACAGTCCTGCTCAGCCCCGCACCTCCTTGCTCAGCCCCGTACCTCCCCGCACCGCTCAGCTCAGCTCCACACTACTCGGCCCCGCACCTCCACGCACTGCACCGCACAGTCCTGCTCGGCCTCGCACCTCCTTGCTCAGCCCTGTACCTCCCCGCACCGCTCAGCTCAGCTCCACACTGCTCGGCCCCGCACCTCCCCGCACCGCTCAGCTCAGCTCCACACTGCTCGGCCCCGCATCTCCACGCACTGCACTGCACTGCTTAGTCCCGCTCAGCCCCGCACCTCCCCGCATCGCACAGCCCTGCTCTGGCCCGCACCACACACCACACTGTACAGCTCTTCTCAGCCCCGCACCGCCCCGCACAGCCCAGCACCACACGGCTCACCCCACCCACACACGCAGCACCCCGCTCAACCCCGCACAGCCCCGCACCACCCCGCACAGCCCCGCACCGCATAGCCCTGCTGTGCCCCGCACCGCCTCGCAGAGCCCGGCACCTCCCTGCTCGGCCCCGCCCCGCCCCGCACAGCCACGCACCTCCCGCACCACAGAGCCCCGCATCGCTGGACCCCGCTCAGCCTCGCCCCCCCCTGCACGTCTCCATGGACCGCAGCCGGGCCGGGAGCCCGCTGGCAGCGGCGGAGGGAAAACGCCCCGCGTGCGGCTCGGGACCACCCCCCTCCATCACTCCCACCCCCGCTCCCCCGTTACGCGGGGCCGCTGGCGCGGGGCCGGACCGGGGTCGCGGGGCTGGGGCGGCCCCGGGGCCGGGCCCGGCCCGTTGTTATGGCACTGGGGGAAACAGCTGTAAACACGTCTTGGCCGGGGCTCCGCGGGAGCGGCTCGGCGGCCCGAGCATCCCCCGGCGGTACGGACCGGCCCCGGAGCTCCGCCGGCCCGGGGGGCTCGGCGGCGTGGGACAACCCCGGACAAGCGACCCCACGGCCGGTCCCGCTCTCCCGGACCGGGATGCTCCGGCGCTGCTGGGGCGGCCCCAGCCCGCCTGACCTCCCGGTGAACCGGCGCTGCGAGCGGGGGCTGCCCGGGGGGCGGGCAGTGCCCGGTGGGGGGACTCCCCGCAGCCCCGGGCCCGGTGCGCCGCGACCGCCCGCTGCCCCCCCGTCGCCTCCGGGGCCTCCGCCGGTGGCCCGCCGGTGGCCCCGAGATGCGCCCGGTGATTGACGGCTCTTTGTTTCCTCCTCGCCGGCCCCGTCGGCCCCTCCCCCGTGCGCCACCCCGCCCCGCCGCGCTCCGCTCCGCACCGGCGGCACCGGCGGCACCATGGGGGCACCGGGGGGCTCCGCGCTCCTGGCGCTGCTCCTGCTGGGCGCCGCCGCTGCGGCGCGCCCGGGGCTGCAAGGTATAACGGGGGAGCTCGGGGCGGCGGCGGGGCGGCCCCGACGGGGCGGCGGGACGGGCGGCAGTCGGGGGGCGGCGGCGGCAGCAGCAGCCCCTGTCCCGGGGCCGCTGACAGCGGCTCCGCTCGCCCCGGGAGAGCCGGGCAGCGGGGACACAGGGACATTCATCCCCGGGGCGCAGGGCGGCCGCCGGTTCCGATGCCGGCTCGGGGCGGCGGGGGGGTCCCTCGGCGAGGGCTGACCGCGGAACCGGAGCTCCTCTCGGTCTGCACTGAGCAGGCGGGCACCCGTTCGGCTGCGGGACTGGGCTGTCCGCGCTCCCACCGGAGCGCCCCGGGGGCCCGGCCGTCTCTCCGGGGTCTCCCGGTCCGGCCGTCCCTCGTTGCTGCTGGGCGCGGGGGGTTCCGCGGAGCGGGATGCGGGGGAGCCCCGGCTGCAGGGCGGGCTCCGGGCCGTGACTCCGCCGGTCCCGGCGGTGCGGGGGCTCCGCGGGTCGCTCTCGGCGGCGCGGCCGGTCCTGGAGCGCCACCGCGCGGGGGCGGCCCCGGAGACCCCGGGGCTTCCCCGGTCCCCCCGGGGAACGGCGGTCCAGGGTCACCCGCAACCCCCCCTCGGTGTGACCGCACCGGGAATCCCTGCGGTCACCGGCCGCAGCTGCGGCTGCCGGTGCGGAGGCGACCCCGGTGCTCGGCTCCCGCAGTCATTGACCTGCTGCTGGTGAGCGAGGTGCGGCAGATGGCCAGCGTGGCCCACAAGATCCGCATGGAGCTCCTGACCGTCAACGACGTGTACCTCCTGTCCACCTTCCGCCTGCCCCCCAAGCAGGGGGGGACCCTCTTTGGCCTCTACTCCAAGAAGGACAACACGCGGTGGCTGGAGGTCTCGGTCGTGGGGAAGATCAACAAAGGTGGGTGGGTGCCCCATGTGTGGGGACGGGCTGGTCCTGCTCCTGCCCCAGTGCTCTGAAGGAAACAGGACTGAGTTCCTACCGTCCAAGGGGCTCACGGGGAGCAGCAGTGGGTGCCTGCTGGTCCCGGGGTGCTGCCGGTGCCAGGGGGGAGCTGATGGCCCCTCCCCGCTCCTCCGCAGTCCTGGTGCGGTACCTGCGGGAGGACAACAAGGTGCACTCGGTCAACCTGCAGCACGCGCACGTGGCGGACGGGCAGAGCCACTCCATCATCGTGCGCCTGAGCGGGCTGCGCAGGGACACGCTGAGCGTGGAGCTCTACGTCGACTGCAAGCAGATGGACTCCAGCGTGGGGCTGCCCGAGCTGTCCGAGATCCCCCTGGCCGAGGTGGAGGCCATCGAGGTGCGCACGGGGCAGAAGGCCTACCAGAGGATGCAGGTGAGTGCTGGGGGGACCGAGACCCCCACCACCGTGCCCTTGGAGATCAGCAGAGCCCCCCCACACTGGCTGTGTCTCCCCACGTACATCAGGGGTTCGTGGAGTCCATGAAGCTGATCTTGGGCGGGTCCATGAGCCGTGTGGGGGCCCTGAGTGAGTGCCCTTTCCAAGGAGATGAGTCCATTCACAGTGCAGGTAATGGCTTGGGGGGCTTACGGGGTCACCTGTGCATGCTGTGGTACAGGGAGGTGGGGGGTGACAGCACAGACGGGTGCTCCTGCCTCTCCTGGCCCAGGGTCCCCACACAGGTGGAGCTCCAGCGCTGCTCACGTGCTGACCGGGAGTGACTGTGTGAGGTGATGCTGCCGGGGTGTGATGGCAGCATTTGGTAACATCTCGTCTCTCTCCTTGCAGTGACGAGTGTGCTGGCCTCCATCCTGGGTGAGTCCCTGCTCTGCTTTCCCCATTCCCTGGCCTGAGGCATTTGGGGCTCCACGGAGGCAGAAACCCTTCCACAGCCTGTCCCAGTGCCCCACATAGGGTGCATCAAAAGGCACGGGTTGTGTTACGGGGAAAGAGATCCTGTGTGAACCAGGGAGGAGAAGAACAGGCTGTCAACTGCCTTGTCCTCCCAGCTCAGTGCTGGTGGGCAGAGCAGTCCTGGCCTATGTCCCCAGGGGGCTGTGTGTGTCCTGGGATTGACCTTGTCCTTTCTGCTGCTGGCAGGTGAACAGACCAAGGCGCTGGTCACGCAGCTGACCCTCTTCAACCGGGTCCTGTCGGAGCTGCGGGAAGACATTAGGGACCAGGTGGGACAGTGGGGGGTACCAGCCCTCCCTGGGCCGGATTTCCCTAGAGCACGGTGCCAGCACCCCCTGATGCTCCACGCTCTGCTGCCTTGCAGGTGAAGGAGATGTCTCTGATCCGCAACACCATCATGGAGTGCCAGGTCTGCGGTGAGTGCTGGCGAGGCTCTGCCCCCACCTCGGGGGGGCACAAAGGGCCGCCTTGTCTCACCCCTCATCTGCCTGTCCTCCCCTCAGGCTTCCACGAGCACCGGTCCCGCTGCAACCCCAACCCCTGCTTCAGCGGGGTGGACTGCATGGAGACGTACGAGTACCCCGGGTACCGCTGCGGGCCCTGCCCACCGGGGCTGGAGGGCAACGGCACACACTGCACCGACATCGAGGAGGTGGGCATGCTCTGGGGAGACCAGCAGCCCCAGCACTGCCGGGGCAGTGCAGGCAGAGGATGCTTCCTCTCAGGAAAGGCCCTGCTGGGACGGCAGCAGCCACCCCGATGCTGTGCCCGAGGGTGAAGCCGGTCTCTCTTCCTGGTGCTGCAGTGTGCCCATGCCAACCCCTGCTTCCCTGGCTCCAAGTGCATCAACACGTCCCCCGGGTTCCGCTGTGAGCCTTGTCCCCGTGGCTATCGAGGCAACACCGTCTCTGGTGTGGGGGTGGACTATGCCAAGGCCAGCAAGCAGGTGAGTGAGGTGCCACAGGACTCCGCCGGGTCCCTGTGGGTGCTCCAGACTGCGGGGCACTGCCTGTGAGGAGGGCAACTTCCCAGGGGGGCAGGAATGGGCAGGGGAAGGCCCCAGGTGAGGGTTTCTCCCACACTGCTCGCAGGTTTGCACGGATATTGATGAATGCAACGATGGGAACAACGGGGGCTGCGACCCCAACTCCATCTGCACCAACACGCTGGTGAGCAGCGCTGTCCCGCTCCCTCCCTGGCTCCCGGGGCCACCCAGCTCCCCTCATCCCGCCCCTGCCCTCTCTCCCCCTCCAGGGCTCCTTCAAGTGTGGTCCCTGCAAGTCGGGCTTTGTGGGGAACCAAACGTCGGGCTGTGTCCCCCAAAAGTCCTGCAGCACCACCACCGCCAACCCCTGCGACATCAACGGCTTCTGCTTGTTCGAG